CCTTATATTCTACATTGACGGGACTATATGCCCTTGTGATATAATCAAAATGACTTGGCGAAAGGATGTGGAGCTATAAATTGCAGATATATAGGCCAGTACATCTCAATACCATCATTATTTTGTACCATGGAAGTACTTCCTGGATTAGGCACCTAAGCATAGCTTTCAGACTGAACTTCAACGAACATGCATAATATAGTACAAACTCCAACACATGCAAAATATCCCTATATGGTACTCCCTCCGTCCGAAAAAGATTGTCCCTCTAATGGAGTAGATACATCCATTCGAGGGACAAGCTTTTTCGGACGGAGGGAGTATATCACACTCTCAATTGCATACCGTAAATAATATGTCAAATAGAAGGGTGTGTTCATACACATAAACCAGGCTTGATAGAAGCTTGACAACATATGCACAATATTCAGTGTTGCTATCTTTTGTTGTTATTATTGTTACAGCCTTACAGGTATCATGTACTAATCTGAAATCTATCTTTTTAAGTGTAAAACTGAACCAGAAGCACCACATTATTTCTCAAACTTATCAGCTAAAGAATTCCAAATCGAAAGGCTTGAAAGAATCACCACATTATTTCTCAAACTTATCAGCTAAAGAATTCCAAATCGAAAGGCTTGAAAGAAGCACCACATTACTTCTTAAACTAATCAGCTAAAGAATTCCAAATCGGAAGGCTTGATAGAAGCACAACATTATTTCTTAAACTCATCAGCTAAAGGATTTCAAATCAAAAAGCTTGAAAGAACTTTGACAACATTATACACAATATTCAGTGTTTGCTATCTTTTGTTGTTATTATTGTTACAGCCTTACAGGTAACATGTACTAATGTGAAATCTTCAATTTTAAGTGTAAAACTGAACCAGAAGCACCACATTATTTATCAAACTTATCAGGTAAAGAATTCCAAATCAAGAGGCTTGAAAGAAGCACCACATTACTTCTTAAACTTATCAGCTAAAGAATTCCAAATCGGAAGGCTTGAAAGAAGCACAACATTATTTCTTAAACTTATCAGCTAAAGGATTCCAAAACGAAAGGCTTGAAAGAAGATTACATACGCACCACGACAACCTAACAATCACAAATTCTCATCATAGCTGATGAGACGACATTAAAGGACCAAGTCTCAAGTATAAAAGGTAAACAATATGGTGCAGCAGCAGGCAAGTAGTATACAATATGATATACAATGCTCTTGACCTTGAAAGAAGCTCGGTGTTATACACGATATGCAAAGCTAGCTAACCTTCGCTCTTACAGTTGTTAGCGGTAACATGTTAGGACAAATATTAGTTGTACAAATGTAAATCTAGAATAATGCAGGTGCAAAACTAAGCCAGAAGCTAAAAAAAGCTTACATAAGCACCAGGACAACCTAACAACCACAAATCCTCATCATACTTGATGAGACGACATTATTACAGGACACAATTTTTCTTATGTACTCCCTCCGTCCCAAAATTCTTGTCTTAAATTTGTCTAGATACGGATGTATCTAATACTAAAACGTGACTTGATTCATCCGTATTTAGTCAAATCAAGAATTTTGGGACGGAGGGAGTAAAAACTATAAACAATATTGTGCAGCAGCAGGCAATTAGTAGTATATCACTCGTTCATTCGTATACGAGGGGCCAGGCTTAGATCTAAATAATCACCTGAAGTGAAGTGAAAGCCGTCGTTCAGCCGCGGGCCTTGAGCTCAGCGAGGCGGCGGGTGAGGTCGTCCTCGTCGACCTTCTCCTTCTCCTTGGCGGCCGGGATGGCGTGGGCGGCGGCCTGGGGGAGGCCGACGGAGACCTCGAGGCCGTAGTCGTCGGCGACCTGCTGCATGAGGGAGTTGACCTCGGTCTCGGGCGTGGAGAGGGAGGTGGAGCCGGCCATGGCGCCCTCCATGAACTCGGCCTGGACCTCCATGTTGACGAACTGGCGCTCGAAGCTGTCCATGGTCTCGGACATCTTCTGGAGGTTGCCCGTGGCGAGGGAGGAGTCGAGCGACTTGACGATGTTGCCCATGGACTTGCCGATGGCCTGCATCTTGGCCTGCGTGTCGAGGCGGGCGACGACGGCGTCGAGGCGGGAGGCGAGGCGGAGGTAGTTCATGTGCTCGGTGCGCTTGCGGATGGCGTTCTCGGCGTAGATCCGCGCGCCGTCCACGTTGCCCTTCTCGATGGCCTTCTTCACCTTGAGCTTCTGCTCCTTCTCCTCCTTCTCGCACTTGCGCGCCTGCCGCTGCAGCGACTTGGACGTGAACTTGAGGTCGAAGATCTGCGCCATCAGCTTCTCCGGGTTGCCCATGGCTGCCTAGCTAGGGTTTCGGGGCGGGGCGGGGCGGGGCGAGGGATTCGGTTTGCGGCGGAGGTCTGGTGGGGGTCGGGGCTGGGAGATCGGGAATTGGGGATTGCGGAGAGGATTGGGGATTTTTTTAGGGGAGAGGCCAGGCCACACGCGGTTTGGTTGTGACACGGCGAAGCAACGAGCCGCTGCGTGTGGGGTCGGCCGACGGCGCGTGCCGTGCGTTCCATGGACTAGGGGTCTGACTTTTTTCCCCTTGCTATATACTCCCTCTTTTTTTTGAACTTCATATACACTCTCTCTGGGAGTATCTGTTTTTTTTCAACGGTTTTGCTAATTCTCGGTCGCCTACGCATTGCGAAGTTTTTAATGGCCGTCGAGATTTTCGTTCTTGCGATCACTTGTGATTCCGAGTGCATGGATCCTCGGAGGGGACGAGAAATTATCATAGGATCCGTGCGGCACCGACGCGCGCGGAGATGATGACGATGGTGATCTGATTTTCGCATCGGTGGTTAGAGTGAAGCCGATGCTCGCGCATGATGTAAGTGATGGCTTCGTGATTTGTACTTGATCTGATGTTATTGCTAGACTAGATGCTTGCAGACTCGCGATTCCGCAGGTGTTGTTTCAGATACGATAGGGTTCTCCGACTTGACTAGACCTAATGGGATTCCACCACTGACCGGCGTCGTCGGTTCGAGGTGGTAGCGATTTAAGTTTAGAAGTAAGTATTTTCGGCCGCACGGGGGTGTGCTTCGTATGTGGGCTTCGAGGGTGCATCCCTAGGAGGCTTGTTGGGTGGCTTGTGGATCAGGAAACGAGGGCAATGTCAGCGATCCGTGTTGGTCTGGACAGTGGACCATCACCTTGGGCCTGGCCTGCCCTGACGGTAGCAAGCAGAGGCCCTACAAATAGCAGGAAGAGGGAAACAAAACGGAGCTTGGACCAGAATGGACTGGCGGCTTCGGTCGAGGCTCTCTCGATAGGATAGGTCATGTTCACCGTCTCCTTCCTCTGATACCCTTCTTCCTGATAATCGTCTGTCATTTGTGGCTATAATCGATGGACCAGTCATCAATTGAGAGTACTTTGCATACCACCCCACCCCGTGCGCCTCCAGTGTATGAACCGACCCACTTAAGTTTTTCGCCAGAACCTTTGCTGAATCAGTTTTCTCCTGGTTTTTTCTTTTACATTTTCCCTTTTTCTTTTCTGTTTTTCCTTTCTTTTGTTTTGATTTTCACTACTTCTTTTCTTTTTTTCATGCTCAAATATTCTTTCTATTTTCCATTTTATTTTATTTCTTATTTCTACTTGATTTTCTAAAAAGTTGTGAATATCTTAGAAATTCGTAAACATTTTTTGGAATGCTGAACATTTTATGAATTCGTGAACATTTCTGGGAAATCATAAACATTTTTTAAATGCTTTTTTTTCATATTCACGAAGATCTTATCCAAATCCACAAAGACCTTTTGAAATTATGAACATTTTTTGAAATTGTGTATAGTTTTTGGAAACTCATGAAAAACTTTTCAGTTGGCATAGTTTTTCTAATGGACGAACATTTTTTTTGAAATGCGTGACATTTTTTAAATGTTAGGGAACATTTTCTGAAATGCATAAGTATTTCTTCGAATCCATGAACATTTTTTGACTTATAAAAATCGAATTTATGAACTTTTAAATTTTGGGAAAAATTGAAATTCGATTTGTTTTTGAATTTTTGTGAACATTTTTTAAATTTTCATAATTCTTTTTGAATTTGCAAACATGTTTTCATATTCATGAATATGTTTTAATCATCCGATTTTTTTTTGAAGTCATGAACATTTTATAATTTCCAAAATCATGATCATTTTTTGAATATGTGAATATTTTTTCAAAATCACGGACATTTTTGAATCAAAGAACATTCTATATTTTCTCTAGCATTTTTCAAAATTAGGAACATTTTATAATTTCACGAACAAGTTTTTTAAAAAATCGCATTTTTTATTTTTTTTAATCCTGTATTAAGGAAGGAAAAACTGAATTAGAAAATAGTAAAGGAAAGAAAAAAAGTAATGATAAAAATATGCTTTTGTATTGTAAAAAGTAGAAACTGATACACAATAACTCAAGGAAAGATAACCGCATCTCAAAGCAAAGCAAAGATGAAAGAACGGTGCAGGATATGCCGCTACCTAGCAGTTCCGCTAAATTTTCTGCTTTGCGGCCTCCTCCTCCTCCGCTGGCTCCGTCGGTGGGGGTGTGCGCAGAGGCTTCGATATACCGATTGGAGCCGTAGTTTCCTCCTCTTGGAGCATTAGATATGTCTCTGTCCTTCCCTCAAAAAAAAGAGATAGGTCTCCGTCTGATGGTCGTGTGACGATAGTGTCATTATCAGTGTGAAATAAAGTATCCCTGCCTTATCCTTGCTTCGGTGATGCTTCCTCGGATCACCGGGAGGCATGTGAAAGCTGGTGTGTCCTCAGATCTTGTTCTTTCGGTTTGGCATTTTTTTTGTAGGTTTGTCTTGCCTGCACTGTCCCGCAATGCTGAGTACATGGTTGTACATCTTGATCCACGATGCATGAAGTTATGAATCAGACATATACGGAAAAATTATATGTTCTATTTAAAGAAGTTTTTGAAGAAGCTTATGATAAGATTAATTGGCTTTCCCTCAATTTTTTCCTTGAAAAAGGTTTCCTCACGACCATATATTAATTGGATCATGCAGATTGTGACACATGGTAAAGTAGTGGTGATGGTCAATGACCAAAATGGCCCGTTTTCACAACAACAACAACAAAAGGTCTGATGCACCAGGATTGTATGTCTCTTATTTTTGTTAAAATTATTGTACATCTTCTTAGTTTACTTATTTCTCAAGCACACTGGCATGGTTAGCTGCAGGGGCTAATTCCAAATTTTCTAAATTATATTCTTGGTTTATTTGATTTTTTCTTCTCTTTTCTCATTGCATATTAAATCATCTCCATAGCAGAAGGAAAATGCAGCTTATCATAATAACTACTCCATCCATCCATATTTATAGGGCCGTTGAGATTTACTTTGATCATTACATAGATCAATAATTATGATGTGTGTTACAAAAGTATACTAATTTGAAAGGAGTTTCTAATGGCATAGTTTTTATAGCATGCACCTTATACATTATCGGTCTTGTCGATAGTCAATGCAGTTCTTGAAATACGTATTATTAGGCCCTCTGTTTTCCGGATTGAGCGTGTAGGATCATGCCCGACCAAACATGCTTTTAGATTTGCATAGCATGAATTTATAACCCCACCTATGTGAGTTTAATTAGGTTTTGGTGCAACTTATAGAGATTTGTGCACGAAGCTAGCTAAGGCCATGCTTGGATCCAAGGGACTATTTTTAGTCTGACTAAAACTAGTCTCTTTTAGAGGCTAAAGTTCCAATCACCCCTGACTAAAGAGAGGCTAGAACTAGTCTTGAGACTAAAAAATTTTAGTCAAGGGAACCCTATTAAAATGTGGATTAGTCCTCTCTCTCCTCATTTAACTCCTCTCCTTTAACACATGCGAGTTCGGGATTGGAGGGTTTGGAGGATAATAAATGCTCATTAACACATTTTAGTCTATTTAGTATTTGTATCCAAGCATGGGTGAGGCTAGCAAGTTTTAGTCCCACTACTTTTAGTCATGGGACTAAAACGTATCCAAGCACCCTCTAAGAGCCACAGATATATGATCGGAGGTTACACCATAGTGGCATTCCACAGAAGGATGTGCCATGGAGAAGTCGTGAACTTTTGCATTGCTCGGTGTGTCCTCATCCGACAGTTTCAGGATCATATTTTTAAGCATCGGCGCGCATCTTAATAGATGTTTCAGGAAGTCAAACTCGTGGTCGTCTCCTTGAAAACCATCGATTTCCACTTCTTCAAGCTCGGCAAGGTGATAGTTTGGCTTGTCCAGTCATTAGCCTCGCACGCCCTCACCCGAGTGCTTGAGAATCACATTGACGAGCATTGGTGCACATCTCAATAGATGTTCCAGGAAGTCAAACTCACGCTTGTCTCCTTGGAAACCATCGATTTCCACTTCTTCAAGCTTCGTCAAGGAAACAATTTGGCTTGTCCAATCGGCTGGCTCGCAGTCACAATATTCTTGACATTTCTCTTTGTCTTAAGAATAAAAAATTAATATAAAAGGAAGAATCACTATATACACAATATGAAAATAACTGTTATGTTGAACAAGGACTACCGTGGATTGGGGTACGGCAACCCTGAGCCTACGTATGGCAGTACAAATCTTATGCATCCGGAGGAAGTAAAAAGCTACTGCTCCATCTGAAGGAAATATGCCCTAGAGGCAATAATAAAGTTATTATTTATTTTCTTATTTTATGATAAATGTTTATTATTCATGCTAAAATTATATTAACCGGAAACTCAGTACATGTGTGAATACATAGACAAAATAGAGTGTCACTAGTATGCCTCTACTTGACTAGCTCGTTGAATCAAAGATGGTTAAGTTTCCTAGCCATAGACATGAGTTGTCATTTGATTAACGGGATCACATCATTAGAGAATGATGTGATTGACTTGACCCATTATGTTAGCTTAGCATTTGATCGTTTAGTATATTGCTATTGCTTTCTTCATGACTTATACATGTTCCTATGACTATGAGATTATGCAACTCCCGAATACCGGAGGAACACTTTGTGTGCTACCAAACGTCACAACATAACTGGGTGATTATAAAGGTGATCTACAGGTGTCTCGATGGTACTTGTTGAGTTGGCATAGATCGAGATTAGGATTTGTCACTTTGACTGTCGGAGAGGTATCTCTGGGCCATCTCGGTAATGCACATCACTATAAGCCTTGCAAGCAATGTGACTAACGAGTTAGTTGCGGGATGATGCATTACAGAATGAGTAAAGAGACTTGCCGGTAATGAGATTGAACTAGGTATTGAGATACCGACGATCGAATCTCGGGCAAGTAACATACC